AGAGAAGTGTGTAAGTCATACGGAGTATAGCAAAAGTTTTGCGACATTCTCTTATTTTGCTAACATGTTGACTTGAGAAAATGATAAAATCTTGATTTTTCTTTTAAAAAATGGAACATGAAAAACTATACAAAAAATGCATAAGGAAATGTTTATTGACTGACTTGAAAAGTTTCTTGTAATCATTATTGACAACCTATATGGTACTGCGATTTCCCAGCACAATAACAGTGCTTGCAAGTTGTTTTTGTTTTTTTATATATCTTGACTTTGGAAAATGGTATACAGCTAATTCTTTCTTTTAAAAGATGCACCATAGAAAGCTCTCTTATAACTACATCAATAAATCCTTAATAATGGATTCTGATGCCCTTCCTATTCTCAAAACCAAAAAGTACACAATTGACGGTCCGATTTTATGCTACATCCCATTTTGTTTTGATAATATCCTAGCTTTCAAAAATGATAGAATCTAAATTTTCATTTTACAAGATGCGTCGTGGAAAGAACTACAAAATAAGTGCAGATAAACACATATTAATTTATAGCCTTTTTAAACTCAATAAGGGCAATTGACACGGTAGCAATGTTACCCCTCATTTAAGAAGATTTTTCCTTCTTTTGTATTTATCTCAACTTTGACAAATAATAATACCTTAATTTTTTTTTGAAAGATGCACCGTCAAAAGCTCTACACTAGTTGTGTGTACAACTTCACAAAGAAAAACGAAAACGTCGTCGATATATTCCTATTCCTTTGATTACATTGGGAAATCGCAGTGCCATATAGGTTGTCAATAATGACTACGAGAAAATCGTTCTAGCCAGTCAATAAAGATTTTCTTATATATTTTTTGCATAGTTTTACATGCTCCATTTTTTAAAAGAAAAATCAAGATTTTATCATTTTCTCAAGTCGACATGTAAGCAAAATAAAGAATGTCGCAAAACTTTTGCCATACTGGGCATATCGACAGCAAGTTCAACCACCTACTAGTAGTAATTTTGGTTGATTTTACGATAAAATCAGATCGGAAACTTCTTCAGTATGAATGAAGTGACAACTTTTCTTCCACCTTTGTTTCTTTTTCTGTCTGTATATGTTGCGATTAGTAAAAAGTCTTATATTTTTAATGCAATATCCTTTGAAAAAAATTGACACATTAGTTTTTTCTCATTTCAAAATTAGGTATACCTATGAAATGGGTGAACTAACTGTTTTTACTATTGTAAATTTGTTTTGTGTGGTCATATTGCTAGTGTGGGAAAGACTCATCTGTAGTTAAACTAACGGGTCTTCATTAATGAAAACCGAGACCACGCAACTGATTCGAAGTCTTTATACAAATTGAACATTTGTGAAACTGAAAACGACGTAGTATTTGTCTTTTCTAGAAGTTATTTTTTAGATAAAATAGTACATATAAATAATGTGAAAAAATGAAAAATAGAAATTTTAGAAGAAATATTATCAATCATTTGGTATATTGTAACTAGATGATCGATTCCAAACATCCTTTTAAAAACCGAAGGTGATGTTTTATGTCTACTTTTGCTGACTGAAACAAAACCACGACTACGGTTTTCATTGCAGTATCTCGTGAAGCAGCGGAGTTCCAGCTACGTTTCACCATCATTTTTGTTCGCTAAAATACAGATGACATTTATGAAAAGAAAGATCGGAACATAATCTATAGAACGGTTCCTCACATAGATGCAAGAATCTACTGTTGAAATAATGCGTTTCTTTGTTTGCTTTCAGGTTAAAAACGCATATGAATCAAATGTTCGATTGGTGTAATAAGTTTCGAATTATACATGTGAAGATATTACTAGTTTGTATGTTTTTTGGCTATTGGCTACCTTTAATGAACAGCACTTCAGCAGAGATGTTGGAATTATCATCGTATAGTATTAATGGATCCTTGACAAAGGATGAAGAGTTCTATCGAGCCTACGCTAGTAAGTATTTCCGATTAATTCATTAGAAAAACATATAAGTAGACATGAGCGGGACCAGCCTATTTTAGCCCCGGTCCCAGTGAAAAAAACATTTTGGACCTGGTCCCGGGCAAAAAAAAATTCAGTACTGGTACTGAGGTTAGCAAAAGTTTTGTCAGTATAGACCTTAAAATTATTTTCTATCAGTGTTTAAGTTTGAAACATCTGCCTGCTATACTGCAAGTTATTTAGTCACTAATATCCTCCTTCTTGGATACTCAATTAGGCATGAATAGGACAAGTTGTTCTAGTTCGATCCCGGTGAAAAAAATTTTGGTCCCGGTCTCGGCGGGACCGGAACCACTTTGCCCATCTCTACATATAAGAGACCATTCCTTGCAGAAGATCATCTGTCCTAGTATGAGGTAAAGTGAAAGTCACAAAAATTAGACTAACTGTTCAGTTGATCAATGAATCACTTTCATTGAACTTTCACATTATTGATAAATGTTTCTTATTTTTATCTCTTTACAGAACGATGTTTATTGGTGCCACCTTCATTGTTATCAGTAACTTCTATTGATAATATTAATAGCTACAAGTCCATGAAAATATTAATCGTCTTACTAATTGGTGGATCCTACATATTCATGATGGGGGCGCATATCATATCTACACCTGAATCTGATTTTCCACTAGAGAATCCTTACATGTGGTTTTGTTGGTGTCTTAAGATACTTATCTATCTTGTCGGCTCATCTATATGCCACCAACTGGCTAGTGCACTAGCATGTCGACCGATGGAAATTCTCTATGATTTACGATACATATCAATGCTCATCATGCAAATCAGCGGCTTCTTCATTTGTCTATCGTTTGCTTTTCTCCTCGGTGTCAAGTTTGCATCAATCAAGACCGAACATCGATTATCAAAATGTTCTACTAGAGTTATAATAGTGTAGATTAGAAATATTTATTAGGAATGTTATTTTTCTTTGTTGTTCAACATTACTCTACGCATTTAAAAATTGTTAGCTGAATTACTTTGATCAAAATATTTACGATCACTCAGTCAAGAAAAATTTTTCATTTGATATACATTAAATGTGATATGTGAGAAAGAACTTTTAAATTCCATTATTCCATATGAATTGTGAAAGCGAGTATATTTTTCTACAAAAATGTCAAAGGCTCTTCGAATAGTATAGAAGAAATAGCATTTCCGTTAAACTTACTTAGACGCGATCAACTGATAGGACGCCCAAGACACGGGACAGGAAATAATATTATTCTAGAGAGAAGTCTATAATGAACTTTATACCAAATGAAAGCTCATCACAAATGGGATTTATTGACAATGAATAGTAAAGATTTTGTGAACTTTGTAATGTGAAACTGAAGAATTTTGAGAAATTTTATAGACTAAAAAATGTTAAAAAACGCACTTTTTCAATATGGAACAAAAATACCAGATTCTTCCATAAAATAAGCTTTTTTCATTATTTCTACTTTCTCACATGTTTTGAAATATATTCAATAGATCCAACGTAGAAAATTGAATGGAATAATTGTGTTTCGAAACATGTGACGAAGTAGAAATAATGAAAAATGCTAATTTTATTGAAGAATCTGGTATTTTTGTTCCATATTGAAAA